GGTTGATGTTGATGAACTTAAATAAAGTTACTATCATGAGGAAACCCCATTATTTACGACATACCCATAGTACGGTATTTGAAATTAAGTTCCTTTACAGAAAGCCAGTTTTGGGCGGAGTAGAGTTTGAGGATTTAAGTCCCGTGCGTTTACGGTTCAGGGTCCTGACCATAACATGAAGCCCTGTACCCGCCAAAGCCGTAGCTGCTATGAACATAAGCTTTTCAGGATTTCGCAGAATGTGGGGTGTTGGATTTAGGATTTGCGCTTCTAGAGGATTCGTGTCCGGTCTCCAATGTATTCCCCCGATAAGATCTCTTATAGAGCTCGTAAACGTGGCTTGGAAAACTGCTCGGACTCTTGGGACGCCGAGCGTTTCTAGAGGCGTTGAGAAGGGCAGGTTCAAAGATTGTACGCTGTTTTCTTCTTTCCGAAGCCTCCGCAGAATTGACCGTATCATGTGACTTCCATAGGAAATGAACGTGGCTTCGAAAAGATGAAGCAAGCTTTTTGGAGGGATTCTGGTTCATCATAGTGAAAAGCACGCGAAAGTAAAACCCAACAAAACAACAGAACTTGTAATCCCCTCCCCCTAATCCCTAATATTAAAACCCCCACCCCCTTAAATCAAATATCCCCTTTGTGGTATACTGTTAGATATTGGGAATATCTAATATCAGGGCGGCAGGGTTTAGATATTAGGGGGAGGGGAGGTTATGTGCATCCCGACGCCACCATCCTTTGGCCCAGCCTTTTTTCCTTCCAGCACACCCTATGATCGCCCTTGAAGTCTATGGTGGAACGAGGGGCTTTAGCACCACCTTGGCACCCCATATTGTAATACAGATTTTCATGCCCAGGGTCGCAGTGTACATGCGGGATCCCATGCTGGGTGGTATGGGCTCTTTCTGGCTATGGATGATACTGCGGCACCTAATATCCAGGGGTACCAAAAGGGGACCCTATTTTTGCAGACTCCCCTACTGCAATTTTGTAGTTCCCAGGGTAAAAGGTTCTGCAAGATTTCTTCCATTCACAGCAGCGTTGCACTGCCGAAGGCCCCAGAGCCGCCCGAGCCGAAGAAGAAGAGGCGGGCTTCACGAAAGCAACCTACTGGTTCTTTGCTGGGAAGAATGGAGTATAACCCAGATAAAATACATTCCTTTAAGGTATTTCCTACTAAGAACCAGTAAGGCAACGGATCTTTTTTCGTTGCCATTTCAGGGGGCGCGCGTTGGGCTCTCTGGGTTGTCTCCAGCCAGGAAGGCGGAGACTGGGAATGCCATGCCGGATTTTCTGAAGAGTGTGCCTTGGCCAGGATATACATAGGGTATATATGAGTATATAGGGTTTAGGGTTACCATAATGGGTATATATATATATATATTTGATTTAATACGGGTTAGCTGTTCAAGATACCTGTCCCCAAATTGGCCACAATGCACTTGGAGGGTCATGGGGACTCAGTTAGTTGTTTAATAACCCCTATAAGCCATGTCAAAATCCCAATTATTCCAATCATTAACCTACCTACTATGTCCCCATGACCCTCCAAGTAGTAGTTGTTCAAAATGCCCGTCCCCAAAATGGCCATATTGTAGGTTCCCTGTTTGGTTGCGATGCCCTCCCTTCTCTACAAGGACCTTCAGAACAATTCGATGGTGTCCAGGGCTTGCCTTAAAAAAGAGACCCGTACTTCGGCTACCTGATCTACAACCAATGTAAAGCAAAAGGTTAGCCTTGGAAAAGCTCAGATATTGGACAACTAGGTGAGTGGATGCTGGGAGTAATTACGGCATGCTGTGTGTTGCCTCGTCATGCTGAGAGTATAATGTACCTATAAGATGGACCTGCGGATAAAAAGACTTCGCTGCCACGCACTCCAGGCAAGTGCTGGATATCTGAATGTGAACTTGTGCTGCACGGATGTTATATCAGGGCACGCACTGTTGTTCAGAAGCTTCTGGCATATGATTTGTGAGGTGCATTTGAATTTGCGCGTTCTCGCTGTGGAATTACGGCTTTCGTTTGAATGAGGTTGATTGTGAGCAGCCTAGCAAAGGTGCGCCATTGTGTCGTTCACGTGCTGGCAATAGTAGATTTGCACTCGTGGTGATTCTAAGCAACTGGGGGGCGCACCTCAGATCCCACAGCGCATCCTGTGCGGAGCCTTGCAATCAGACTCTAAAAGTCAAACGCCGTCCGCACATGATCGTTTATGAAGTTTGCATAGCTTCGTGGCAACGCTCGGGGTCCACCTTTCTACTATCGAGCACCCGTGAAGGCTCTTCAGAGTTCTGACCTGTACATCAACATTCCTTTGCATCCAAATGAAGAAGCTGCGTTCTGCCTCTAAAACCGTATGTTGTAATCCTAAACCTACACCTCCAGCCACAGTCCATAGACCCTAAACCTGAACGCCTAAGCCCAAAAAAGTCAACCCTAAATCTTCAACCCGAACCTTAACACCCTTAATGCTGAAGTCTTAATTCAAGACCTAAACCCCTGAAATCCCAACACCCTAAAACTCATTCAAGGGTATTCGCCCAGGCAATGCTTCCGCGAGCCAATGCTGGCCCGGCGTTGCCCAACAAGCAGGATGGGATTACTGTGAGTCCCAGGCTTGCTATGGAACATAGGTATCATTTCAGGTCATCGTATAGGGTTAATTCTGCCTAGACCCCAAACCTGTTACGGTTGATAAGAGGATGGTATTGGCTGTCTTACGGGGCCACAAACTAAGGCTTTCTTGCGCTTATGAGGGCCCATTAGGGCTATAGGGTTGATGGCGTTATTGTGAAGGAAGCCTAACCTTGTTATAGAACATCGGGTTTAGGGTTTAGGGATGTTTCAGGGGATTTTGTGGAATTGTGTTTGAGAAACTTGGTGCTACAGTTTATCGATGAAAGTCTAGCATGACCTACATTAGTATAATAGAGTTTAGCCGCACCACCTTCCCAATAACAGTGACTGTAGCGGGTCCTCGTATATATTCGTATTATACCACTATTAAAGGGTGTGGGGTCCACCTAAACAGTATAACTACCAAAGTATATGTTACTCCAGTCATGCAGGTGATTTTCGTAATAAATCCACCGTAGGGGTCTATGGGATGTAGGGATGGGGGGTCTAAGGTTTAACTTGGGGATTCAGGGCTTAGGGGGTTTAGGGTTGAGGGGTGCAGGCTTCGGGATTCTGATTCGGATCCCAAAACCTTGGCTACTTCTCTGCGAGTCAGAAACAGGCGTGCGCAAAAAGAGCTGAGCCCTAGAGAGATCAGGGTTGTGGGCTAGGTTTTGGCTTGTCAGACGACGGGTGAAATCGTTTGGATGTAAGGACTACGGACGTGAGCTCCGCATTTGCGACCCATGAGTGGGTTTTAGTATTCCACGCTTAGCCAAATGGAGCCTTGGAGGCGTGGGGTCAAGATTGCGCTTACTGGATGCATGGTCACTTGGGCACGTTGATGTGCTTTCTATTCGGAAACCGCCAGCTTGGCCGGCAACACATCCAGTCGGTTCTATACTTCAGCCGTATAGTAAGCATGCCCCAGGGTAGAAGTGCTACTTCATCAATCTAACAGCAGAACATGCCGGTAACACTGCCAGTAAGTGATGCGCTCTCCTTTGTTAGGAGTTGGAGACTATGGCGGACTACACCAAGCGCTTGGATCAAGCGGTGAAGAGCAAGCTTCAGGCTTAAACCGTGTGCGGCATCACCAATCATGGATACTCGCTGCTTCTTAGTTGGGAAGAAGGGAATATAATCCTTAGATTACACCCGTATAGTATATGCCTTTACTCCCTACTAAGAACCAGCAAAGTTAGGAGTCGAGGTTTCGGTCTGGGTCTAGGGGTTTTAAGTTGAGGGATTAAGGCGGTGCGGGGCAGAGAGGGCTTGCCCAAAATGGCCCTTGTTGATTGTATGGGCATGTTGTTTTGACAGTGAAGATGCTGGGAAACATGCCACCGATTTCGGGGAATCGGTTGCGGCATCATGGTTGTTAATTGGGTTTCTGTATTGGAGCTTGGCTGAAACAAAGGTTATTCTGGGGGCAGTCTATCCTGAAATAAGATTAACATCACGACTGATTCAATAGTGTTGTACTCAAGACAGGTATGTCGCGCTCAACAGATGGAAGCCAGCTTGTGTGCCAGGTGGTGCAGAAAAAGGTGAACACAGATCACCAGCGCCAGCGGCAAAAGGACTGCTATACGGCTTTGGAGCAACAAAGTGGCATGAACTCTGCATGCCTTACCTTCGGGGCATTGAACTTTAGCTCAAAACAAGGTGGAGCCAGCGCGTCTCATCGGAAATCTGAAAATGCGACGAGGAACGCTCCAAAGCAATAAAAGAGAAGAAGAAAAAAGGCGGCAAGCAGAATCCGGAAGAGGCTGGACCTGCATCAGGATTCACGGGGCCTTGAGCGCGGAGCCGGGATTCTGTTGCCTTTTGATAGAAGCATACAGAGCTTGTTGGGAGATGCGGCGTCGTGCACCTTAGGGTTTGTGAGGATATGGTAAAGGCTACTTCAAAGAGACTTCAAACTGATGTTGGTAGTAGTTTGGGCCCCTAAAGATGCTTAAAGGCCACTCGCTTTACTTCAGAGCCCGAGCAGACTTCAAAGACAGTTTCGCCGGAAACTATGTTCAGCCATGATTGCAAGATTGGCGTCAGCTTCGACTGAGAAGGTTTCAACCATCCAGCAATGTTAATGACGCCAAAATATCATGCACAGAAGCGTAAGAGTATCCATGATCAAATGGCCCTGTGTGGCATTCTGCCAGCAAAAGAGCATGCCTTAGATTGTTACGTTTCCGCCTCCAGCACCTACATCCCATCTCCAATCCCGCGGCCCCTGAACGGTCCGTATCTTCAACTTCCCTGAGCCCCTGAACAGGAAACCTTACCCCTAAAGTCTTTAAGCCACCTTAAACCTTATAAGCTCGTTACACCTGAAATCCATAAAGCCATCTCCCCATCCCTCATTATTCATTGAGGCCCCGGAGCCTCTCCTCGGCCGTGTGGACCGACCGCGCTTCGGCGACGTGGCGGAGCGGCCACCGATCTTTAGCCAGGCAAGCAAGCAGCAGTGGGCTAAGGGATTGGCATGTTTTAAGGGTCATACCCTTGTAAGGATGTGCAAGGATTCTGCAGTCAATGCGGTCATACTGGTTCCAGGGCATTCATCTACATATATATATATATATATGTATGTATATGTGTGTTTGTGCATATGTATATATCTATGCATTTTTGTATTCCGAGAAATGCGAATGACAAAGTTTCCAAGAGCCTAATGGCACAGCTCAGAAAAAGCATCTCAGAAATTCCGTGTCATGCTGTTCCCCGTCATCTGTGGGCCTCTCATGACATCTCTTCCAGAAAATATTGTGAAGCTTGCTGGGGCTGCGCAGTCCCTTGAGACTGGGACTTGGGGAGTAAATCTCAAAACTTGCAGGAAAGGGAACGGTTGTGATTGGGGTGGCTTCCTTGTCCGACAGGGTGACTGTTGAGTGCAGGCTGCGACCCCTCCCCTCAGACCTCACCCAGAGAACAGCCACATTGAAAAAAAAGCTACAAACCTTCAATCAGTAACTTTCTGATTTCTCAACGACGGACCTTTTGGAGATGCCAAACCATTTGCATTTGGAACTTGCGCCAGGATGCCTTGAAGTCGGGAGCCAAGGGGCAGCTTGGCAGCGCTATCTGGCCTTGAGTCCGGACTGAGAAGGAACTCTCAGGAGAGGCCCTATCTGGGGGTTTCCCAAGATTAGGGGTACCCATTTTGGGGGGATCCCCATGATAAGCATTATAGTATGTTGGGATCTACATTGGGGCCCCCCATTTATGGAAACTACACTGTGGAGAAGGGATTGCCGTAGTGGCCTTTATGTAAACCCTGATAATACAGTGGTTTCCAGTATATTTCAGGGTGTGAGGTTTAAGGAATTGTCCGGAATGTGGAAAAACTTTATGGTAAGGGTTTAGAGTCTACAGAGACGACTATAGTGATTCATTCCTGCATTCCCGACTAGCAACCAGTAAGCTTCGGCTCCTTGATGCACTTGTTTCGGTCCGGCTACCGCGTATATCCTCACCATGGGTCGGAAGGAGACAAAACTTGCTCACCTGCAAAATAAGTTTGTTAATCGCTGTTAAGGGATACTTCGGGCCTCACTTGACTGCGCGTTTGCAGTTGCCTCCCCGAGAAAAATGCCAGAGTTCCAAGGAAGCAGAAGTCAGGCGAGGGCGCAGGCTCGATGGTGAGTTATGGACTTCAGGGCCTGCTTTCTGCTTTCAAGGTGGAATAGGTCATGCGCGTGGGGCTTACAGCTAAGGACTTCCATTGTGTAACATGAAGGTATACTCTGGGAGAATCAACGGCTTAGCGAACACTTATGAAATTTGTATAGTCAGCGCAAGAGGGTAATCTTCAGGGTTACGCAAGCATGCGGCATGTTCATTTTAAAAGTTTACATCGCTCAGGAAGTCCTAAAGATCTATCATGCTGTGTCGGGTCTTTCGGGCTCGTTACTGCAAGTTGTTCCGCACGGACGCCACAGACAAGGATGGTAGACGATACATGCTCTGTTCTCAGACTCATCCTGGGTCCTATCATGAGATTTTCTTCTACGCAGATATAAGCAGTCCATATGTACTGTAGGTCCCTGACTAGCCCTTCGTGACTCTGCGGACTTTCGCCCCCACATCCAGAAGTCTGAAGAGCGCCAGGGAAGCAGGGCGTCCTGGGCGCCAGCAACCTGTCTGACTACGTTGGCCAAGTTCGGGATGCCTACGAGACCATGACTCCTGGCTTTGTGAAGGGATCTTGGGGGTTCCGCACGGAGAGCACTCTTGGGCGGTTTTGGGTGCAGAGATGCTCATGGGAGCTCCACTGAAAGGGTGGGTTGCCTTGCTACTTGGGGTTTACAGATGCAACGAATCCTGGGGGCTTGATGCTAGCACTTCACGGAGGACACTGCAGGTTCTCAGACGGATGCTGCCCAACTTGGCGCATGAGACCAGGTCGGGAGAGAGAAGCTGACACAGGCAAAACGTAATTCTATCGCAGCCTTACAGAATTAGTTCCAGTCGGCCATGAACTCGCAAATTTGATAAAGCTTCGCACAAAGCAAAAGCGTGAGGCGAAGTCCTCCTAGGATGTTCTGGCTATGCGGCTATGACCATCCACAAGTCTCAGATGAGGTGTTAATGCAAGAGTACCTGGATGTCCTGCCATTTTGAGTTCTACCTCAAGGAGGCATGTAGGACACAACCCTCACAACACGAAGTACATCTAGGATCCAGGCAAGGCATGTAACTCGCCATAGATCTCACTGTATCATCCTCAAATATACCAATGGTCTAAAGTGAGCTGTATGCCGAACCTAAACCCTACATCATCTTAAACCCCAACCCTAAAACCCTAAACCCAAACCCTAAAAGCCTAAACCCCAAGGCAAAGAACTGATGCCTTCCCAGGAAAAAGAAGCGCCAGGCGGCTGCAGCCGCCAAAGTCTGAGCTTCCGTAGCAAGGGCAGAGCCGAAGAGCGGCAGATGCCCAACAAACTGGAACTCAGGGTTTAGGGGATTTTGGGTTTAGCGTTTAGGGGATTTAGGGCTTGGGGTCTAGGTTTAAGGGTTTGGGTTCTGGAGTTTAGAGTCCAGGGTTGAGGGTTAAGGATACTTCATATCTAAAACATGTGGGTGCATCTCCGCAAACAGCAAACAAAATCCTACCATTCTTTGGGGGGAGGGTAAGACCGACAGATTTGTCTACCAAAGGTAGATTGAGGTTGTCATGGTGGCTTTTCCACTGGACTTGCCTTCAACTGCCCAAGGAGAACAAAAACCTGACCAAGGAAACAAAACGGACGGTAGAACTTCATAAGATTCTGCGTTGTTTTTGTCAAGCCTTCAGAAGTCAGGGTCAGGCAGTCGTTGTAAACTGAGCATCCCAGCACCCCGAACTTGTAGAGGAATAGCAGTGAGCTGGTTTGAAATATTAGTTTTGGCCGCACTTTTTCTGCATCAGGCATCGGTACCAGCGCAATAGCCATGTCCCCAAGTTCCCGCGACGACACCTACATAGCGTGCTCTGAACCGGATTTCAATTGGGATTTTTGTGGTAAGTCAGAATGTTTCTTCATCAAAAAAGTGGAAGGATAGAAGAGCTGTAATTATGCCACTCTGTTAAGTTTGCAAGAACCCCACACACAGGGCAGGTTAGATGGATCAACTCCCTCGTAGCTCCCGCCGCTTTAGCTCCCGCCGCTTGATCTCAGCAATGCTGGTAAGCATCACGGCGGCAAGCTGAAGTCATGAGGGCCCTCCGGAAAAAAGGCAAGAATTCCATTTTCATCAATATGAGGATTGGGCCGGGTCCCCTTGAAGAGGTCAGGGGTCAAAACTTCCTTGTAACCAACGGATGGTCTACCACGATTTACAAGCTCAAGCTTGGATCTGAGCACTTGATGGCAATCGTGCAGCCGAGCCCTTGTAGGTGAGTGGGTGGGTGGGGGTCGACTTAGGGCCTCAACCAGCTTCTGCTGCTGTGCAGGACGACCAGTGGGTGCCCTGGGAAGAGCTGGTCAAGCCGTGCAAGCCCCAGGGAAGATGATTACTGGTATGCCAGGCTCAGTCATCTTTACTTTCACGATTTTGGCTCCAGAGTATGGATTGCACATTGAATTGGAAATTTGGCCCGCACCGAATCCGTCTTTATGTTCAAAAAACCAATTCCGCTAGGATACAGCGGGGTGATTCTTTCATGTGTCTGATTTCGAGCTGTATAGAACTTTTGTGGACAACATGTGCCTGTGCCTAGAGACTAGCTGGGGCAAGATCCTAATGTGCTAGCCTCAGCTGCATTTGTTACCACTCAAGCCTCAAGAAGTTTTTAAAGGAGGATATCCCTGCCAACCGACTTTCATTCTTCACGCTATTGGTGATACTATTATTAAAATCCCTCAGGTCCCTGGAGCGAATTTTCGGCCGGTGGCCGGGCTTCAAGCTGCGCAGCGTCCGAGGCGACCTTGACGTGTTTCTGCAATCTTTGAGAAAATTTCGGCAACCACCGAGTTGCATGGAATGCCACGCATCGCAATGGCTTGCAAAAGCAGACGCGCAGTAGTAATCTTACAGAGCCAGCTGCATCGGCCTAAGTTTTTGGAGTCCGGATTTGAAGGATAGAGCATTCATTTGCAGGCTCGGATTTGGAGGGCCAGTGGGGCTTTTGACACGGCATACCATGTGCGGCGTGCTTTGACGGACTTTTGCAGGGTCTCTTGACACTGGGTTTCTCTTTATGTCATGAGCGGCTCCTGCACTGCACGTCGTGCTACTTTGTAAGCCGCTGACACAGCCCAGTGTACGCCAGTCCTCAGCAGTAGGTCCTGGATCGGGATCTCTGGCTTACTTTGAGTGAATACTACCTATGCTCTGTTCGGGGTCATGAGGCCTACATATGGTAATTGCAAGCATAGGCCCTCGAGTCATGAGAGGGTTCACTTTTGATTTTGGTTGCTGGCGCTGAGGACGTGGACATGTGGTAGCCGCGATCTCAGCCCAAATCGGCAACTGGCGGTGTAGGCTCGAACCAGGGTGCGCTGAGCAGCCCAGCCTGGTCCTTCCTGTGCAGGGTTCAGTGGTAGTTTCAACTGTGTTCACCCTACACACGAATTACTGTAGTTGATCACTTATGAGATGGGTGCTCTGCAGGACTTGTTACGCGGCTTCAGTTACGGGTTGAGGCTGATGGGATGCTGTTGCAGTTGTCATGTTGGACTTGTTATGCATCCAGCAACTGGAACCTAAGAGGTCCGTAGTTCAATTTGCCAGAACACGAAGACGGTTACTGGTTGCTTGAGACGGGGCGCATCCCTTCTTTCCTCCCATTTCAGGGACGTCTGCGGGAGCGAGTCTGCTTCTTTCAGCTTAGCTTTAGGACTGGGTTGCGGTTGAAGACCTTGTCAAAATAAGTTAACAGAATATGGACATGCAGTGGGTCGTCTGGTCTCCTCATACCGGGAACTGAATTTATAAGTTCCGCAACAACAGCACAGAAACAGAAAGCAAGATGTGCTGGTCAATGAGCTGAGTAGCCCGTGGTGGCCAGCCACAGCCTCTGTCTTAGCCCTGCTGAACACACTTCCCCTGTGTGCCGAGGAGCAGTGGGAAGGTGATCTCCTGCATGAATTCATGAAAGAACATGCGCAAGAGGCATATGAAGACTGAAGAAGATGATTCACTGGCTGGCCACGCATCGGCGATTCACTTATTGCTTAGGACCCAGCGTGTTTTGCTATAGTTCAGACTGTTGGCCAGCAGTGGCCAAGTAAGATAGGTCCGGATTCAGCCGAAAGAGCAGCATAGCATCAGGCAAGCCATAAGGTAAAGACGAGCGCATTTAGGTCGGTTGCTTGACCAAGCGCCTTTCAGATTGGTTCGTGCTCAAAAAGCTGTCGACTGAATTGCACATTCTGGTTGCAAGTATCTGTCGAAGCAGGGGCATGAGAGGTTTTGGTTGGCTTGATTCGCAGCCGCTGCTTCAGGGATGCCTTTGCTAGCGGCCAGGCTGAAATGCAATGCTCGCCAGTTGTGACTGCAAATGCATGGAGGCCCATTCCTGCTTCATTTGCGTGCCCCAGCTGTCCAGGAACCAGGGATTGGAAGTATCAGCTTCAACCACGGATCATTGCCAAGCACCCCCCTGGATGGACGATTCTAGCAGGTTGCGGAGCACCTTTAGCCTGGCAAGCTTGGCGAGCCATGAATAAGACAGCTGTGAAGAGGAAGGCGTTCGAGGCCAGATTGGCCAAGTCTGGCATTGACTTCCCAAAGGATCCAGGACTTGACCCGCAGCATGCTAGCATGCGTAAAGAGACAAGAGAGGATGCAGCTCTGCAGCGCTTGCAAAATCATGCAACAACCAAGGGAGGAAGGTGCCTGGCAACGAGCTATGTAAACCGCAGTACCAGGGTTTGGTGGGAATGTGGAGATGGCCACCGATGGCAAGCAACTTCAAACAATGTGCTTAACCACCAAAGTTGGTGCCCGCAATGTGCCAAGGCAAGGCAAAGGATCACACTGCAGCAACTGCAAGATTTTGCCAGAGCGCAGGGTGGGCAGTGCCTGTCCAAGAAGTACAGGAATTCCCACGAGAAGCTTAGTTGGCAGTGCCAGCTGGGTCATACTTGGGACGCAACTGCAGCTAACATTCTTCATGGAGGAACCTGGTGCCCAGAATGTGCTCACAGATCAAAGAAACCCTTGAAGCGCAACTTGCAGCGTTTGCAGGACTGTGCCGCTTCTCGCGGAGGCCGCTGCCTGGCAACTGCATATACCGGTATGCGCGCACGGGTGGCTTGGCAGTGTCGCGAGGGCCACGTCTGGCACGCAAGGCCTTCTGCCGTGCTAGGAAAGGGGCGCTCCTGGTGTCCTGTTTGCGCAGGGCAGGCGCCAGTGGGCCTGCAAAGGTTGCAAGAGCACGCCGGGCATCTTGGTGGACAATGCTTAGCAACGGAGTATGTAAATTGCAAGTTGCATGTACGTTGGAAGTGCAAGCATGGCCATGTGTGGCATGCGACTCCCGATACCGTACTAAATCAAGGCGGTTGGTGTCCCCATTGCAGAAAGATTGGTCTGCCACGCCTGCGTGCCCACGCTACCTCACTGGGAGGGAAGTGCCTTGCCAAACAGTATAAGAACGGAACAGCGAAGCTGACCTGGGAGTGCAAAGCTGGGCATAGATGGAAAGCCAGTGCTCAGAATGTGCTGCATGGCAAGACCTGGTGCCCGCAGTGCGCCTCACGCATGTGGAGGACCGAGGCGGAGATCCGCAGCATCCTTGAGGGCATCTTCCATCCATTGAAGTTTGAATCTGCTTATCCAGCCTTCC